GCGTCCGCACTTCAATAAGCCGATGGCGGTGGTGGCCAAGGAATTGGGAGTATGCATTACTCTGATGAAGAAGATCTGCCGCCGCAATGGACTCGTGCGGTGGCCGCACCGACGCATTCGCAGTCTGGTAAACCGCATCACGTCGCTCCAAGTTCTAGTGGGGAACGCAGCTGGAGCTGAGCGCAAGCGCTTCCAAGCGCAGATTGCCGGTTTGCGTGAGGAGCTATCGGCTGTGATCCAGAACCCGAACGAGAAGAGTCGCAAGGCTCAGACGGACACCAAGATCCCCATCAAGATGGAGCCGCTGATGCTCAACGGCGTCAGGGACGAGTTCCCCATTGCTCAGATCACCGATACGATGGTGGGGCCGGCCGAGATACCGTCCGACAATGACAAGATCAGTGACCATGGCAAAAAAGACGCCAAGGATAACGATTCTGCTGACGACGTTGTTGACGCCGCTTCAAACGAAGTTCGGGCCACCACTACTACCACTACCACCACCACCAGAAAGACGAGGTCCAAGAAATCCAAGGCCGCTGCCAAGACCGAAGCTGCAAAAGACCCAGAGGACGAGGTGTCTGGCGCGAAGCAGAGCTCTCGGTCAAAGAAGCGCAAGCCGTCATTCGGGCTGCACGCACACCAACCGCCTCCCATTAAGATCCCTCGCCACGAGGAGCTGCCGTCCATGAGCCGCCTGCGCAGCCAAAGCGTGCCTGAGAGACGTTTGCGTGGGGATCGACGATACGGACGGGGACGAGATACGGGCGCTGGGGTCGCATGCGTAAGACCGTCGACCACTACCCACCGCAACGGTAGGCGCGGCTCCATCTCGTCCATCTTGAACGATATTCCTGAGTAAGCGGAAGTCGGAGCACCCACCGGCTCATCTTGCTCATGCGTTGGGGCATTTGAGCTGGTACCTGTAAGAAGCCGTTCAACTAAGAGTTCAGACAAGAGTCCTTTATCGTATATACAATACACATCCGCTACGTTTGGTCCATGATAGAAAACCACTTTGCATATCTTGACCCGGAACTGTTTGATTGTTCTGCATTACTATTGACACCAAGCGAAACAAATTGCCTTGCAGCACCATTCGGGTGTACTTCGAAGTACAATAAGTACTTACCTAGAATTACACGGTGTAGCGGGGACTTCCTCGCCAGTCCCGAAGCACTACCAATTCAATCGGAAGGAAGAGGTGCGGATTGTGTAGTCTTGTTGCAGTTGTCGGTGGCGTCGTAAGCGAAGACGATACGTACGATATCCCGAGTTCGGCACGCACGCAATAATGAAAACGCGGACGGATGAAAGGGACGGCCTTCACTACGGGCTCAAGATTTGGTCCTGGACACGTACCAACATCTCGAATCGTTGAGACCAGCTTGGACGCCCCGAGTCTTTTGCTTCAATTTATAGCCTACAATCGCCTTCCTGTATTCCAGGCTGGAAAGCTTCGAGGGTTGAAAGCGGAATTGGCACACCTGTGTTCAAGTAAGAGACTGTCGATATGAATCGAGAAGCTGCCGCACCACAAATGTGCGCCCACTACTGATGAGCAGCATAACACGCACGGTGACAGATTCACACGCGATGCATGAAGGAGGTCCTTCATTGAAGGACAAGGTGGACCCCCACAACTCGAGTTGAAGTTGCATTCAAGAGTGTGTGTGTGGGGGGGGGGGCATCACGAATGGCTTATCTTTCATCATTCGTTGAAGGCTACTTTAGCCATTGGTCTCATTACTGCCGGGTCGGCAAGTGACCATTTCGTTGTCGCGGCGGGGCCAGTCATTTCATCAAAAGGACAGTCTCACCTTGTGGCCAAGGCGTCCAGCTGGGGGGCATTTGTCCCAACGCTTCCCGTCCAGCGCCTCCGAACCGATGCATCCGATCAGAGACGAGTTCCTGCTCAACTTGGCTGGATCTTGCCGTGGTCCAGCGTGGCAGTATTGCTAGACTGTACCCATAGACACCTCCCTGTCATGCCTGTCAAGTGCCCCGTCAATTGACTGACTGATCGGACTGATCATGCCGACAGAAACTCAGATATCACACCCGTGCCGAGCACGGCCCGTGCAATTGCCAGATTTCCGTGGCCATGGCTGCCCGATACCGACCCAACATTGTTGGGTCAACAAGCGCGGCAGCTTCCCGGTGCAACCACGTAATTAGCGGTCGGGTCACTCGGCAAGCCCCGAAAATGGTCGCGATCTTCCTGGGCCAGCATGGAGCTCCGCTTCGACCCCGCTATGTCGCTGCAAAGTTTACCGCATTATGCGCATAACGTAGTCGCCTCTACATACCTGTCTAAAATGGTGCAATACCTTGATATCTATAACGACACGATATCAAGTCTCAAAAGCCTAAGCCCGTACTTCCACGTTTCAAGGCCCGACTCAGCAGTATAAGGTCTCAGGTCAGCTGGCCGTTCGAGCGCTCATCTCCCTTTTTTGCAGTCACAGTAAACGATGCCCACATGTTCGTCGTGATGGAAGCGTGCCAGTCGCTTCGACGCCACCACTTCCCTTTCAGACGCGTAGCTGCCACTCGGCCGCGGAATCCTCGAAATCCGGCGGCATGCGACTCGCGCTCGTGCTCAGCCTCGCGGCGCTGGGCGCAGCATGCGCCACCGCTGCGGACGTGAGCGTGTGCGGCGATGCCACCTACTCGCTGTCGGAGGCCCGCGGCGCACTGTGCTCTGGCGCGGGCGCCGCGCCGGAGGGCACGGCCTGCCCCCTGCGGGGCGACGTAGCGGTGGCCGACTGCCACGACTACCTCCCGTCCTTCGTAGAAGGGTCCTCCTGCGTGGCGCCCGAGGACGCCGAGTGCCGGATCGTCACAGGATCCACCTGGGGTTGTGTGTTGCCGTCTATTGGCTGCGGTGACAGCGGCAGCGGCACGCCGGCAGCGACCCCGGCAGCTACCGTGCCGACGGAGGAGGACGACAATACCTGCCCGACATGGGAGTACGACGGAGAGGACGACGTCGTGGAGAGCATCGACACGAGCTCCGCGTTCGACGGCAACGAGGACTATGACGAGAGCTGGTTCTCGCAGACCACGACGCTGACGGAGCTGTACGATTGCGGAGAGGTGCCGGCCACGACGGAGGCGCCGACAACCAATGCACCGCAGACCGAGTCACCGACAACAGCGTCTCCTGCTACACAGCCCCCCGCGACAACGCAGTCTCCCTCAACGGAAGCCCCCACGACCGAGAATCCGGCTACCGAATCCCCGGAGGTGACCGAATCGCCGGCAACAGAGAGTCCGGCGACCGGGTCTCCGGTGACACTGTCACCTGCAACGGAGACTCCGACGACGGAAGCCCCTACGACGGATTCCCCAGTGACCGAATCACCGACGACTGAGACCCCGGTAACTGAGTCGCCGGTGACGGAGTCGCCTTCAACGACGACGCCAGCTACAACCACGCCGGCTACGACGACGCCAGCTACAACCACGCCAGCTACAACCACGCCAACTACGACGACGCCTTCCACGACGACGCCTGCTACAACCACGCCAGCTACGACGACGCCAGCTACAACGACGCCAGCTACGACAACGCCTTCCACGACGACGCCTTCCACGACGACGCCTTCCCCGACGACGCCAGCTACAACCACGCCAGCTACGACGACGCCATCTACAACCACGCCAGCTACGACAACGCCTTCCACGACGACGCCTTCCACGACGACGCCTTCCACGACCACGCCTTCCACGACGATGCCTTCCACGACGACGCCAGCTACAACCACGCCCGAGCCTACTACTCCTGAGCCCGTGACGCCCGAGCCGACCACGGCTGAGCCCGTGACGCCGCAGCCTACGACTTCTGAGCCCGTCACGCCCGACCCGACCACGGCTGAGCCCGTCACGCCCGAGCCGACCACGGCTGAGCCCGTGACGCCGCAGCCTACGACCGCGGAGCCCGTCACGCCCGAGCCGACCACGGCTGAGCCTGTGACGCCGCAGCCTACGACCGCGGAGCCCGTCACGCCCGAGCCGACCACGGCTGAGCCCGTGACGCCGCAGCCTACGACTTCTGAGCCCGTCACGCCCGACCCGACCACGGCTGAGCCCGTCACGCCGCAGCCTACGACTGCGGAGCCCGTGACGCCGCAGCCTACGACCGCGGAGCCCGTCACGCCCGAGCCGACCACGGCTGAGCCTGTGACGCCGCAGCCTACGACCGCGGAGCCCGTCACGCCCGAGCCGACCACGGCTGAGCCCGTGACGCCGCAGCCTACGACTTCTGAGCCCGTCACGCCCGACCCGACCACGGCTGAGCCCGTCACGCCGCAGCCTACGACTGCGGAGCCCGTGACGCCCGACCCGACCACGGCTGAGCCCGTCACGCCCGAGCCGACCACGGCTGAGCCCGTGACGCCGCAGCCTACGACTCCTGAGCCCGTCACGCCCGAGCCGACCACGGCTGAGCCTGTGACGCCGCAGCCTACGACCGCGGAGCCCGTCACGCCCGAGCCGACCACGGCTGAGCCCGTGACGCCGCAGCCTACGACCGCGGAGCCCGTCACGCCCGAGCCGACCACGGCTGAGCCTGTGACGCCGCAGCCTACGACCGCGGAGCCCGTCACGCCCGAGCCGACCACGGCTGAGCCCGTGACGCCGCAGCCTACGACTGCGGAGCCCGTGACGCCCGACCCGACCACGGCTGAGCCCGTCACGCCCGAGCCGACCACGGCTGAGCCCGTGACGCCGCAGCCTACGACTCCTGAGCCCGTCACGCCCGAGCCGACCACGGCTGAGCCTGTGACGCCGCAGCCTACGACCGCGGAGCCCGTCACGCCCGAGCCGACCACGGCTGAGCCCGTGACGCCGCAGCCTACGACTCCTGAGCCCGTCACGCCCGACCCGACCACGGCTGAGCCCGTCACGCCCGAGCCGACCACGGCTGAGCCCGTGACGCCGCAGCCTACGACCGCGGAGCCCGTCACGCCCGAGCCGACCACAGCTGAGCCCGTGACGCCGCAGCCTACGACTCCTGAGCCCGTCACGCCCGACCCGACCACGGCTGAGCCCGTCACGCCCGAGCCGACCACGGCTGAGCCCGTGACGCCGCAGCCTACGACCGCGGAGCCCGTCACGCCCGAGCCGACCACGGCTGAGCCTGTGACGCCGCAGCCTACGACCGCGGAGCCCGTCACGCCCGAGCCGACCACGGCTGAGCCCGTGACGCCGCAGCCTACGACTGCGGAGCCCGTGACGCCCGACCCGACCACGGCTGAGCCCGTCACGCCCGAGCCGACCACGGCTGAGCCCGTGACGCCGCAGCCTACGACTCCTGAGCCCGTCACGCCCGAGCCGACCACGGCTGAGCCTGTGACGCCGCAGCCTACGACTCCTGAGCCCGTCACGCCCGAGCCGACCACGGCTGAGCCTGTGACGCCGCAGCCTACGACCGCGGAGCCCGTCACGCCCGAGCCGACCACGGCTGAGCCCGTGACGCCGCAGCCTACGACCGCGGAGCCCGTCACGCCCGAGCCGACCACGGCTGAGCCCGTGACGCCGCAGCCTACGACTCCTGAGCCCGTCACGCCCGACCCGACCACGGCTGAGCCCGTCACGCCCGAGCCGACCACGGCTGAGCCCGTGACGCCGCAGCCTACGACCGCGGAGCCCGTCACGCCCGAGCCGACCACGGCTGAGCCTGTGACGCCGCAGCCTACGACCGCGGAGCCCGTCACGCCCGAGCCGACCACGGCTGAGCCCGTGACGCCGCAGCCTACGACTGCGGAGCCCGTGACGCCCGACCCGACCACGGCTGAGCCCGTCACGCCCGAGCCGACCACGGCTGAGCCCGTGACGCCGCAGCCTACGACTCCTGAGCCCGTCACGCCCGAGCCGACCACGGCTGAGCCTGTGACGCCGCAGCCTACGACCGCGGAGCCCGTCACGCCCGAGCCGACCACGGCTGAGCCCGTGACGCCGCAGCCTACGACCGCGGAGCCCGTCACGCCCGAGCCGACCACAG